TACAAAGCATGCGCCATGATTAGAGCAGGAATTGCTAATTATACAAAGGTGGCAATTACGAAGATTTTAATAACGATCATTAGAAGAAACTTGATAAAGTACATTCTGCCCTGAAAGAGCAGAACAGCAGCCAAAGCATCTACCTTCATTCCCGTGATACTACATGATGGCTCAGGTATTACCAGTAACACTGCAATTAGCCGAAATATAGTATGCATGCACGCTGCACTAATGGGTCATTTCAGGGTTCTATTTTGTGTTATGAACAGGAAAATATTACAAATATGCATATATGGAAATCTGAAGCGTGGCTTCTGGATTTAGGCAATCACATATCAATGCACAACAGCTGACATTTTCTTATATTAAATTAGGTAAATCTCCCTGAACACTCACTTTACTAGCCAAGCACTTTTTACACCACTCTAAAGCCAACAGCCTTCTGCAATTTAAGTATGATTTAGTGCAAGGGAAGCAATGAGTATTATAAAATTTATGCTTGTTCACCTTCTCTCTCCACAGAGAAGGGCAAGATGTTTTTCCATGTAAATATGTATTAGATCCAAATCATTTAAATAGATATTATTCCATAGAGAACATGAAGCTGTGTATGCCCATTCCAGCTCCACGTTGCTAAATAAACTGCAAGGTAATGACAATGCCTTCCTCATCCTAAAGGACACTGAAAACACGTCTTATTCCTAGGCTTTTCAAACAGGAGACTTTCAAGAAAAAAAAAAAAAGAAAAAAAAAAAATCAAGGCAGCTTTTACTAAGCTAGGTAAATTGAAGACAAGTTTTTCATAAGTCACAAGCCAGATCTTTTAACAAACAGACTAAAAGGTGGTTACAGCAAGAGTACAGTACAGGTATGTGAACAGTCTTTAGGATATAAGTATCAAATCATTAAAAAAAAAAAAAAAAAGCAGAAGATACTAAACTCCAGAAGAAAAACAAAATGGCATTTGCAAGTCAGAAAAAAAGTTTCAGACAAGTGGCTAATTTTTAGTTAATGTAGGAATATAAATGCAAGATGCCAACTCTTATTTTCATGCAGTTTTATTTCTCAGTATTTTAGGTACAAGTGTCACTGCCTGGTGACACTGGAATGGAGAACAGAGGGGAAAGCTTAAACAAGAGCTCTTTAAAATTAGAGCTTTACTTCTTAAAAATAAGTCCATATATATCACTGCTTTTCAAAGAATCAACATTTAATCAGCATGCTACCATAGAGTACACTCGCAGTTAACAATTTAATTCAAAATCACATGTTTACTTCAAGTGAGAAAGACTCCCTATTGGAAATGATGCTATCATTTAGGGCCACAGACAGTATCTTACAACACTGTCTAACCTCTGCTTGATTTTAAAATAGGATAATCACCTTCAACTATGTATGAACCTTGAACGTTATCAAAAACAGTTTTATTGCATCAACGATTTATTAATAGTCTCATATTAATAGTAATGTAACTTTGACTTTACAAAGTCATAAAGATGACAAGAAACAGTCAAGACTTACTGTGCCATCTATTTTACTTAAAGCTTATAAGACAACCTCACAGTACAATCAGGAAAACAAAACCCAACCACCTTACCCAGAGAACGATAGTGAGAAAGGAGAAAAAAGAAAACACTAACAGCAACAGAAAAAAAATAGGTCTATGCCATCACAGTTCAGTAATGGAACGCGAAGGAAACAGGATGTAACAAAGTGAGGTATAAATACTGAATCCTCTAAAGCACTGAAATTCTCTTTTCTCCAACTGTGCTAAAAACTGAAAAACTGCTAGCACTAAGGCAGTCAACTTCTGGTAAAATACATTATAACCATCTCTTTAAAGAAAAGCTATGAACCTTATGTAGAAACACATGAAGACAGATTCCCTTCCCAAGCTCTGTTACAAAATGACCAAGGCTTACAGGCCAAACTTGATAACAGACCTGAAAGAGGAAGCATTCCACTCAGACCTTTCTGGTTCAAAATGCTTGCTTCAGAATCCTGCCACGCTTTTGATATTCTACGGTCCCTTTTATAGTTGTTATCCCCATTACTAAATAGTTGATCGTTTAAACAAAGAACTAAGAAAGTACAATATTCTATAACTGGCATTTACAGCACTGGCCTTGGACTTCTAATCTTTACCAGACAGGCACACAAATCAATCTATCAGCTCATAAAGGTGTGCTTTTTTAACCTCTGAAACAGATGGGATTGGCCAGAAATGTCTGGCATGTCAAACTGCTAATCACTGCTGCCCTTCGCACAAAATAACCCACTTAAGTTGAGGCATGGTTGCACTGTAACAGACATTAGTCTGTGGGAAACCCATTTAACTGTCACATACTCCTGCCACTCCTGCTCTCCCTTAATTAAGCCTAATGCCTTATGCTCTGACCTTTTGTTCTAGCCTATTAACCCTATCTAGTACAAGTTCAAATATGCTGCACTAAAAAGTTTGCTGTAAAACACAGAATTGCCAAGCTACAGAAAGAATGAGGAACATCTCTGCCTTCCAAGTCACCCACTCCTTTACCAAATTCACTAGCCTGACAAAATGGAAGCAACACTTATGTTAAAGTTAAAACGCACCCAAATGCTTCGCAGAAAAAGACAGACCTTCTTCCACTTCCATACTCTACCTTCTCCTATTTAGAGGGGAAAATAAAACTTCTCTTTGTAAGTTCATATCCTCGGGCTTTTTTTTATTTTAAGACAAGAACATACTATCAGTCAAGATCACACTACACTCATTTGCTGTTCTCTGAAACCTATCATTAAAAATAATGTGTAATTGGTTTACAGCGACCAATTCTTCTTCAATTAAAGGCTGCTTCTGCCGGCTTTCCTAACACTGAGTCACCACCTTGTTCTTTTGACAGCCTAATTTTAATTACTCTAGTTTTTAATTCTCATCTGCACCATTTCATGAGTTGCATCTCTTGACCTCTCATACAAAAAAAAAAAAATCTACATAAACTTAAAATAAGAACATACTTCATAAATTTTAGCTCAACACCACAGCTTTTCTTCAATTTACACTGTGCTTGAAACAATACAACTACCTTCCCATCCTGTAACTCCAACTTCCAAAAATTACACAGTACCAAGCAGACTAACATTTGCAAAGCAGTACTTTTCTGGAGGAATCCAAGTGACTACAATAACTACTTTTACAAAGTTTCAAGAAATTCTGACTTAAGAAATGCGATTCTAGAAATAAAAATAAATATTCAACCAAGATAACAACAGCTTTCCAACATTAAAACTGTTTACAATAGCACACAATGCCGAGCTGCGTATTAAGACAGGTATTCCACGAGCAATGTTTATAAACAGTAAATGAACCCATGGACACTCCATACCCACTCACTCCCCTCCCCAAAAACCCACAGCACACATAACTGTGTTATAATGCTGGTTAGAAATGGAAAAGCGAATGCCAACTCTGCAAAGGTTACCAGCCACAGGTACACTGAAACACAATTTTTTCCTCAAATCTTTAGCTTAACCACCTTACTGACAAGCTGACACGCAAGTTAAGACCCCTTACTTAGAACGCAGACTTCCGCAACTCTGGATGGAATCAGATTTAAACACAGGTAACAATTTGAAATAAAGCTCTCAAGTACTCAGAGCTATTTTTGAAGATGTGGAACACTTCAAGAAAACCTTGTTGACACAAAAGCCACTCTCTAGGAAACTCTAGCAAGTCTGCTTAAGCCATCATCAACTGCTGACCACAACAACAGTTAAGTCATAAATTGTTATTAATTTTGTTCTAATTCTAAAGTGCCTATCTTACTGATTCTCAGATCAGCAAGAAACGCAATTGACTTCCGCATAAATGCAATTTCTCAGACAACTGAGAAGCACTGTAACATTGTTAGATTTTTTTGAGGAGTCAAACAGGAAGCCTGAGGGAGAAAAAGAAATAATGGATCCCTCATCTTGATTTCCCTTTATTTCCAAAACAGTGATTTTCACATAAACTCAAAGCTTCCCAGTATAAAATACAAGTATTTTCTGAGGATTCTGCTATATTTCACTGCTCAAGTTGCAGTACATTGACCAATGCTACATTCAAAAGGAAGTAAAGAAACATAGATTTACTGAAAGAAAAATACACCTTCTATCTGCCATCTGTGTCACTACGGTGGATACACTAGAAATTTTTCAGGCAGGAATTTGATACGACTGCCTCCAGCGTTCTAGACCTTCCCTTTCTAATGCTCCCAAAAGTTGCCACTGGAGGCAATGCAAATGAGTCCTAAGAGAGGCCAGAAACAAAACAATTGCTTGTCAACCATTACATGCCCAAATTGTATTCTTTATGCTCATCAGCATTCTCAAGTTCTTAGGCATGCTTGTAGGCCCACTGAGGACAGTGGGGCTACTCAAGTGAATAAAATTACTCACAGACCGAAGTGCATATACATAAGCAATCACTGGACAACACTTGGGGAATTATTCTCTAGTATCAAAGGAAAATAGGATTTAGAAAATAGGAATCAAGGGAGTACATCCAAACAAAATGACAGCAGTGTTAAACGTCTACAAGCCACTGTAATGTAATACCTAATGATTTTACTGTGACAGTCCCTTGCTACAGAATCTCAGTTTGGATTTGTTTTATTTAAAAAATAAAAACTTAGTGTTACTGCATTTATATAATCTTCTCTTTCACTCTGCAACTATGTGTAAACCAGGTTCTTGTCCATTCAGCAACTATCTCCTAAACAAGTAGGCTAAATCTTCAGGACTTATCTGCAAATTCCATATAAAAAGCTACTAAAAATGATTATTTCTCTTTAATTGGCACACACACTTTCAAAAAAAAAAAAATCTGTCACAAAAACAGAAGGATTAACTTGAAAATCTACCACCTTATACCACAATCCTAGAAGACCTATACAAAGGTAAGAATTTGCATGATAGATTGGCAAGACAAAGAAGAAACTCAAACCAAAGAAAAAAAATAATTGAAGCAAGTTATTTACCTTGAAAGTGGTCCCATAAGGAAGGCTCTTCCTTCAGGAGTCCAAGGATGCACTAATTTTCTCCCTCAGCAATTCCATGCTTCATCTGAAAGGAAAAAAAAAGTTACCTTAAGAAAATCTGCATACCAATTTCCCTTCTTCCAATCTGTATTGGCCTTCTTATTAGCGTAACAGAAATATTGGAAATAGAGCATCACTTCCGATCTCAAAAGGAAAACGCAGCTCCCAGCATCAGAAATCAAAGTTCTCCAGACAAAAGCATTAGCAAATCAAATACACCTTGCCTTCCCGAGACTCGTATTGTCTAGGTAACTGGACAGTTGTTTCTACATGAAGCAAGTCTGCATTCAGTTTTGATTCAGAAGACACACTCCTGCTTTAATTCACTTCATTAAAAAAAGCTGTAACACAAATGTCCTCCTTCATACGTAGCTGTAGTTAACTGAATGGGCTGAGGCAGTCGAACAGGGTCGACAGGGGCCCCTCGGCCCCTGGGAAACCATAGCAAGCACAACTTCATACTCACACCTATGCATGTCTCAATCATACGTTTTTTGAGAACCCTTTAACAGGAAAAGATGAGATCACAAAATAACAGTGGAATGCAACCTCCCAAAATCTGTTAGAAAAAACTAAAGCAAGTAAAAATGCATACTTTCTTTTAAGATTTAGGAATGAAATACTATAGAATGTTCATCTTCAAAGCTGCTCACCATTACAAGTACCACCATACATGTTTTTCTCAGTATTGCTGCACTGTCTGTAACTTGCGCTAAAAGATAAAAACTTACAGGTAGGCCAGGTCTTTGCTATTTGTACTACTTAACCTTTAACGAGGCTTGTCACAACATCACAATGCTCACATTAAATTCTCTTTCACCAATTAATTTAGCACCCTGAGAAGCATATTTAACAAGCATAATGAGTCAAATTTAACTATAATCAAATACAAACAAAACAAAAACAGAATTATTTCCAGTTTTGCTGAACTTTCTCCTTTTCTCATGGGGCATTGAAGAGCTCTCTTTTTCTCACCATAAGCCTCTATTCTCAAAAAAAAAAAAAAAAAACCACCACATACAAAATACACAAAACTTCTTAAACACTGAACTTCTCCAGCACGGAGTACTCCACAAGTGGGTACCCAGGGCTGTGGGGCAGAAAGGGAGATGTGAGTTTTGCAGGCAGCCCACAGCACTGCCCTCTTCTGCAAATCCACTTGGGCTAAAGCCAGCTTAGAGACAACATTTAACTGGACACTGTGATGTGCTACCTGGGGGAAAAAAAAAAGATACAGGTGTTGATAGAAAGGTCATCATCCAAAAAAAGACCTATTCAAAGATACCAGGTCAGCGAAAGCAGCATGCTGAGCTGCAGCCAACGTCAAGACCTAACAAAAGCAGTGAATCCATTATGCTGGAAAGTAAGTAAATACCATGAAATATTACAGAGACTATTCCAGATTCTTTCCTTAGATACACCACAAAATAAGCCAACTTGCACCACAGAGCAGTAGCAAGCTGCAACATTCTGATTAAATTCGGAAAAGAAATATTAAGTTATCAATGCAGTCAAAACAAACAGAAACAGAGGCACGAGCAGAACTTCCCTAGAGGGAATAATATACATATTTTTTCCATATTCTCAAATCACCTTCAGAAGAATAGTCCACTTCAGTACTTCTTTACTACTGATGTAGGGAGGGGGAAAAAAAAAAAAAAAATGTTTTTCACCACTGACAAGTGGTTTTATTTAAGTACTCTTTTTGTAGAAGACAGATTTCTATCTAATGAAGAACAAGCAAAAAAAAAAACCAACAAAACATCGCTGTATTGCCATCAAGGTACAATGTATACACAGGATATCCTTTAGGACAGCATTAAGCAATCTTTTTGTACTGTTCCACATTACTACAAGGTTTCTAAGTGTTCAGAGAAAAACAGCAAAAGAATTTGTTATTTCTGGGGGAAATACTATATTTCTTCAATGACATTTGAGAAATGCTTTGCTAGATTGAAATAAAATTCCCCAAAATTTAATGGCTGGATGACTTAGATTGCATGCCTTATTATTAGAAGGCTTATTATAAGGGAATAGAGCAACAATCAAGAACACTGTAAGTTGCTGAAAGTGTGATATGCAATTACATAAATAATCAGTACAGACCAATCACCTGAGATGGATCCAAAGGATAGAAATACCGTTTTTCTGCACCATTACATACTTGTAACATGAAAGACAGAAATTCATTACATGTTTTTCTGAGGCCAGTTATGTATTTTCTTCTCCGTTTTTAAACAACAGGTGCAGTCAAGGCTTGAATACATTTCACACCTAGCATCTATCTGATCTCTTGTGGTCACCTTCTCACAACTTCCCTTCTCAAGAAGAGAAAGAACACATCATCCAAACTACCCTCCCAACACTGAGTTTCTCTATGGTACACTCAACCTCTTACAAACCCATGGCTAACAAACAATATAACAATATGTTACTTTTAACATGAGTCTGCCTGTAAGCTAGGTTGTTCTCTACTAGGGACGATGATATTTACAAATGAAATGTGTGAAAACAGAACTCCTCTCTAGCCAGGTAATTAAGAAGTAGTGAGTTCCACTAACAATTTCAGTAAAAGACCACACTGGGAGAATTTGACTCAAAATAAGATGGCTAACAACTGCTCCTTCCCATTCTACATGGAGATATGCAGGAGACTCAGCTCCCATTTACCTTTAACCATCAAGTCAAGGGACCTGCAACAGACAGCCAAACAAATTATGAAATGAAGTTTTCCAAATGGTATATAGGTCTGGTCACTTTTCTAAGCGTATTTGAAACAAATGATCCAGAAACACCAAAATGTATACATATATCTCACGCAAGAAAGAATTCTTCTTCCCATTTTCCTTCAGGCATACCATCCCACTGAAGAACTCAAGAAAGTTTGTGTGATCATAGATGCCCACTTAAAATACTGCTCACCAACATCAGCACATCATTTCCTAATTCAACTATTAAAATCCTGACACCATAATACTCAAAAGATGCATCACACTTTAAACACTTCCCTCACACATGCTGTGGGCAGACCAACACAGGTGGTTAGCGCTCTTATCAGCTGGCCTGTTAGCATTTTTGGTTCACTCTCATCCTGCTACTCACATTACCTTTTTACCTCTGGTTTAAGATGGTTTAGAAAGATTGGCAAGTTTATTTATTATTTTTTTTAATCCATTTGTGCATATTCTCCTGCAAATTTCCCTTCTGTTCAGACTTCATTCCTTACCTACATTATCTTTCTTTCTACTTTCCTATCATTAAGCCCCTGCTGAGCAGTAATGATCTATACTTCAAAATTCATACTTCTCATCCCCAAGGGGTATTTATCCAGTTTTTATATCCATAGGATATTTACCCCACCTATCACCTGTAACCCAGCCAAGTATTTCCTGGTTGGGAAACCCACCTGGCCGTAGGGAGCCCCTCAGGTCCCCATGTGTGGCCAATTGGCCACCATTCCACATATGCAAACCCTGCTCTGAGGGTTGGGGCTCCCACAGTCAGTTCTCTCTGCACTCCTTGTATGTCTGCATACAGAAATGAAGGCGCAAATCAATTGATTTTAAGGTTCAGGCCAGTCCATAAGATCTATTCTAAAATTAACAAGACATTACACTCTTAGAGCCCTCTCCATGATTGCCCTGCAACGAGGTGTGGAGCGCAAGGGTTGAGTAACACAGCTGACTGTGGGAAATGCAACTCCCCAGCTTTGCCCTGGGCAAGTTTATACATGTGCTCCAACAATGCAAGGCATAGTTTTTCTTTTAGTGTGTCCTGCACTGTCACCAGTAAAATTAACAGCGCTCTCATGGCTAACAATAATACAGCTGGCACTGCAGAAACCTTTTGCCAATGTTCAAACAGGGCGGGAGAAGAAAAAAAAAAAAAAGCTTTGAAAAGTCAGAGTAAGCTTTAAAACAAGCAAACAAGTCTTTATCAACAATTAAAAAAAAAATCCAATGTTAAATAACATCTACAAGCAAATACCTACCACTAGGTTAACCCACATGAGTCCTACAACCTTTAGCAAATCAGTTTCAAGAAAAAGAAGTCTTTAATGCCTTTTACATTACAGAAGTCATCCTACGCGCAGCAGACTATCAAACATCAAAGATGATGCAACCAACAGTTATAAATCACCTATTTACAATTAAAAAAAAAAAAACACTGGTTCACTTTCAATTCCTTATCAACATATTTTCTACAACTATAATAAACATTGGTTATTTTTTGCTCTCCAGCTGTGTTTAGCATACCTGTCACTTTAGAAGCAGAAACAGTTACATGGAGCAAAGAGGAAGGCACATCTCATCTGGTAATTTTTTTTATCCGATAACTACTGGGGGGAATAGGGGAACTTAAGTTATTTAAATAAATAAAAATAATTCAGCATGGTCTGGCATTTGACAGCTCCTTTACTCTGTGCGTACATGGTAAACAAAAAAGCCACTGCCAGCTCTCCGCGGTTAGATAGCTCAGAGCCGCAGGGCAGTCCAACAGGAGGTCAGCTTCCAGCCCTGCCTAAAACACGCAGCTACCGGTAACAAGTACCTACTTGTTACTTCTTCCTTCCTGCTGACAAAAACATACACCCATCTATCTATGGATTTAATGCACAAAAAAAAGCACCCAGCTGCCTCATTCTGGAGGCTATCTCAGGCCATACAAGTGCTGATAACGCAACAGGGCAGAACCTCAGCCACAAGCTCAGGAAGACAGCAGTCCCAACAGCACAAGCCGGAGACCAGCTCGAACGCAGCTCTGACTGAGAGCACTCCTGCTCTCCGAGAAGCCTGCTCCTGCTGCCCACGGAGCAGCGATTACTCCGATGCCATCGGATCAGCTCTAAGCGACAAGCACTCCCAGCCGGGTGAGCCGGTGCCACAGGGCCTCTGGAGGTGCCGCTGGGCAGCGATCAGCCCGGCCTGTCCGCTGCTCCCCTCGGAACGCCCCAGCTGTCCAAGGAGCCTTCCCGCGTCTCGCAGACCAGATCTGCCCCCTCCGTTACACCGAGCGGTACAGCACCTCTGAACGTGCACTGTGCCATGACTCAGTTAAATTCTGCTCAGCGGCAGCGAGCACCCAGCGCTGCGCCCGGCTCCCTCCGAAGGAAACCCAGGGCAGCCCGGCTCCCTTATTGCACACAGACGAACAACTTCCACGTCACCTTCCCCAACATCAACGCGCCACCAAAGACGGGAATCACGCTGCTTTCCACCCCCACCGCCTCCCCCCCCCCCCCCAAATCCTCAACACGTGTTAAGCATTTTAGCTTAACTCTTCCTAAAATTGAAAACCCATAATAAACAGACACGCGGCACAGACACAAGGCTGCGTGTACTAAGGAAGCTTTCTCTCATTCCGTCCACGCTCCAACACCACGTTTCCCCAGGTTTCGCTCCGTTCCAACTTAATTACCCGCTGACACTTACACAGAGCAGCCTCCGACACCGCGTTCCGCAGAGAGAAGGGAGGAGAAATCACCTTTAAAGGGCTTCGGGGACACCAACACACGCCCGCACATTAACCTTTGGTCTGGAAAGGGGAACGGCGACGTCCCCGCGGGGCCGTGAGAGCGCCGGCGCTGAGCACGCAGCCCCGGGGCGGCGGGCACGGAGCGGGCGCAGAGGCTGCGCGCCCGCAGGTAGAGGTGGAGCGCGCAGCGGCCGTACCGGGGCAGCGGGGGCAGCGCGGCCTCGCCCCGGTGCCGGGAGGCGGCGGCCATCGGGAGGGAGGGCAGCGAGGCCGCGTCCCAGCACTGCCCCGGGCGGCGCCTCCCGACCCCGCGGGCGCCGCGCAGCCAGCTGAGACTCCCGAAATAATCCACGCCAAGGGGAGAAGGAGCGGAGAGTGGCGCTGCGGCCGGCCCCGCGCTAAACGCCGCTAACTTTTCCGCCCCTCCGGCTCGCCGAGCCCCGCGGCCGGGTAACTTCTAGCCCGCCCCACCGGAAGCGCTCCCTGCCGCGACCACCCCGCGCCCGGCTCACCCCGGCATTGTTCCCCGCCGCCGCCCGGCAGCGCCGCGCCGCCCCGCGCGGCCCGTCCCCGCCCGCCGCGCTCACCCGCCGGCCTCGCCTCACCGCGACGAGAGGGGCTCCGACAGAGCGGGGCGCGGCGGCTCCGAGCTCGGGGCCCCGTCCCCGACTGGAAGACGCGCTGAGCCTCCCCGCGCCCCGGTCCCCTCGCCCCGCACACGTACACAGCGAGCTGAGCTCTGCGCCGCTCCCCTCCGCGGTTCGGGGCTCTGCTGCAATGCCTGCGAGGCTGACTTTCAAAGCCTAACCCGCAGCCGCGATCCTCCCCGCCTTCCACCTCGCCCGGCGCGGCGCAACCCGGCCCCTCCTCCTCCTCCCTCCTCCCCCCGCGCCATTCATCTCCTCCGCCAAGTTGCTTAACCCTTCTCGCTCCCGGCTGCTGGGGCAGGCAGGTGGTCGTCAGCCTCCCGCCCTCCGCGGGGCAGCTCGCGGAGCTCCAGGAGTGAACTCACCGCAGGACCTATATTCAATAAAAACAGCATCGAAATAACACCTTTTTTTCTTTTTTCTTTTTTTCTTTTTTTTTTTTTTTTCCCCTCCCGCTCGGTAAGCATAATGGGGGGAGGCTTCCTGTGGTTACCGCTTTAGAGCTTCTATTTTCAGCCCTTCCTCTGAAAAACTTATTTTTTCTCTCCTGCCCCCGGCCCCACCGACCCCCGGCTCTGCCCTCGCAGTTCCTAGCGTGCACCTCAGCCCGGGGCCTGCACTGCTCCTCTGCCAGGGGCTTCACGCAGATGGAAACAGCCTTCCCTCCGCTGGCAGGTGTCGAGAATCAGGGTCACAGCGGCCCACGGAGGTGACTCACGCCCCAGTAAGCGAACAGTTCATGAGGACAACCTGGGACAGGGCCTCCAAAGAGAGCTAGTCCTCCATCTTGGCTGGGGGAATCCATGCAGGTCTGAAAGGCAACCTATGCTGTGAGAAAGTGCCTTATGAGTCTGTTAGCAGTCAAGGTTTTCTTTAGACACCATTCCCATCAAAGAAGAGTCAAAGAGTCCGTGGATACCCACCAGACTGTCTGTTTAGGCGAACTACAGAAAGTGCATGACCTCAGCCACATCATCCGTGAACAGAGCAGAGCCTGTGTTTAAAGAGAGCCGTGATGCTGCGTAAAGCATTTCTCAAACAACGTGCAGAACACTTTGTGACACTTCTCTTAGAAGTTGAGGATTGCAGAAAGGAGAAACATTTGTTTACAGATCAGTTATAAGCTGTGCGATGATATCTGTACTAACATATGCCAATATTTTGGTTCTGAAACCAAAAAATGTGAAATAAGTGGCATACCCAAGCATAGTTTAGTAACAGACTGATATCACTAAAGAACATACGAATTTCCACTTAAGGAAAGCAAAAGAGAGCCCTGTTTGTGAAAAGCCAAACGCTTGAGCTCGTGGATACCATGGCTGAAGTGCACGTAGGAATGTGGAACAAAACCTCTTTTCCTTTGGAATGCACGGATTGTGTACGCACTTACAGCAGAGCTGGTAATGTATTACTTGACCTATTTTTTTAAGCCAATGAAAGATTTAGGTTAACTTCATCATCATGTGTTTTTAACCACTTTTTTTCAGAAAAGCAGCAGCGTTTGCTAAAGCTACTGTGTTCACATTTTATACACAACGGCCTCTTTTTCCTTGAGAGAATGTCTCACATATCACCCGACCATGCTGCCAGTAAAACAACTAGTTTTGCTGTTCATTTCCACAGTAGCCTCATTAACAAATTCTGTTTGTAAAGAAATGATCTTTCAATTTTTATTTCTCTAAAAATCTTTATCTCAAAAATGTTTCACTGTTAAGCGGCTGAATTATCTAGGGGAAAGGAAATTTTCTCATTACTGCAGCAATTTAGCTGCTATTTCAATCAAGAATGTCTGTAGTAGAGACCTCTTTCATTCTTAACCTTAGGGAACATTGCACAGATGAGAGACCTACAAAAGGAGGGGTCTTGAAAAAGCAACTGAAAAAAATGTCCGTGTGAAATATTTAAGATACTTTTGAGTAGCTGAAATAAAGGTGGTTGAGGAATCAAGATTCTAAGCAGTTCAATCAACCGTGGTTGTAGTAAACAATATAATGTATGTATTTAGCAGGTTATTGACAACAGTTAATATTCCTGTTGCACTGAAAATTGCCCCTTGCTCTTATTTATCTGAACTATAAGAATTCAAACAGGTTAGGAAGTAAATACTCTGTACAAGAAAAGGAAATTCTGTGGACAGCACACTGTAGAATCAATCTCTCAAGAACTATCAAAGTACTGACGTGTTTGTGTTGGTTCTGCCTGCGCAGTCTTCTACCAAACTTAAGCACCCGCTTACTCTCCAAGCATCAAAGACATGCATCTACTGATGCATCTGCCTATCTACTTGCTGGGGTGAGGCCAATAACTGGACTTTGTTACGGACATCATAAAAAGGATCATTTTCTTTGAGTGGAATTCTTCGCTAGAAGGTTCTCTGTAAATGAAAGGGCAGTTATGACAGGAAAACACATACTGCTTTAGGATCGGCATTGGAAGAAATACATATTCCATTAGATCTCCTTCCCAGAATTGCAAGCACTTCCTGTAGAGTTCTTGCCATACTTTGTGAAGCATAAATTCACATTTGGTAATATCAGTGGACCGATTATATATATAAATGTATACCATAATACACACATACAAGCGCATTCACTCTTTACAGTTGCTAATTGGAAATCTCAAGACTGAAATGCATGTTTTTGATCTACTGTGAGTTCTATCAAAACCAAAACGAATTGTAGTTATTGCACTCTTGCAGTACAAAAAAATAATCTATGTGACTGTTTCAGAAATGGTCAAGTAAATTGTTGATTATCCCTAACTTTTTATTTGATTACTTTGATGGTTACAATAATGCATTTAAAATAATGCTACAGTTTCGGTAATGAAACTTTATTTTGATAAAATAAAGCATATAGGTCTGTGCCATGCAGCAACAAGAAACATATTGTTTTTAAAAAGAAAATGAAAACGCTATTACATTATTCCCAAATATTTTTATGTTAATGCTAACCTATTTTTAAATTACAGAAAGTGCTTTGAAGAGCTTGGGTGAGCTACCGTTGCTCTTATTTTGATTTTCCTTTTCTCAGCCTCTCAAAGAACTAACAGCTCTGAAACTACCTTTTTCAATCTGAATAATTAAAGCCTTGCTTTATGGTATCCAATCATGATATGAAAGGCTTGGGACACGGTTGGAAAGCTAGCTAGCTTTACAGAAATTCATTTACAGACCAAGTCTTACTCTGAAATCGTTTGTCAGCCTCACACAGACAATAATGAGATTCCATCCTTGACTCAGCCTAATTCAATTCATGTAGTATGTCAGATTACCCACTATTTGGAAGGTCCCTTCACAGAGGATTAAATCACCTAATATTCCAGATCTTGTGTAGGCACACAAAATAAAAGAATGGCTATGATTCTTATTTATTCAATTATTGAACTCAAAGGAGGTTTCCCTAATTAAATGGTAACTTCCTCCTCTGTGTGAATAGTGTTCATACATAAATGAGAAGTGGGAAAGTGGAAAAAGTCTCCCTTTTTTCAGTGGTACTATCTAGGACAAACTGAAATCAAGTGGAACAGTACTGGTGTTATCTGAGGAAAAACTGTTATATAGTGATGATTTCTGCAGGGTGTGGTACACCATAGAGTGTATCTTGTTTTGTTCATAACATTTGTTCAGAACATCCACAAGTCTGCAATCATCGGAGGTCGAGCTGGGAAAAGTAATATACTCTCCATATAAATGAAAAGTGCATACCACTCGTGTCAAAACATTCTTTGCCTATCTACATTTAACACAACAAAGATATTAGTATGCTTACATAATTCATTTAATTTCCCACTACAGTTGTTTTCTGCTTTTGTTTTTTGTTTTTGTTTACATTACAGAGTTTAGACATATGTTTACAAGCATCTCAAAACAGGCCATTTGACTTAGTTATTCTTAGCATTTCAAGTTCTTTTTTTCCTGCACTTATTAAAAGTAGATTTCAGATCATGACCATTTGATCTAAGAGTAATAAGCAAGAGACCAGATGCTAGAGTCTTTTCAATTACCAAAACGTTTAAGGACAGCTGTACCATGTAAGCTCTCATAGAGGAATCATATGCTTGCAGCATCTGGTTAGTTTTGGCCATGCCTCTAGCGTCTTGTATCTGTTTGGAGGCATGAACTAGGGCTAGGCTTACTTCCCCATATGCATTTCTGGTGTGTGTGTGTGCATTTTTGGGCCATAAACAGGAACTAACACTTTGGGTTTTATATTTTCTGACAGGAAATAAACACTGCTTTCAACCTCTGTAACACCTTTGCTGGAAGAGTCAAAGTGGTGTATACTAAGTTGATGTGACTGCTGTACACTGATTGTTCGTATTTTACCAGACCTAAAGGCATGTGTTTTTACCCAGAAGAACACATCCTGTACTTGTGAATTTTCTGCAATTTCATCCCACACGCACAGTGAAAAATACACTTTTGAGAATGTTGCTCTGGTGAGTCATTATCATTACTGATGGTGTGAAGGTATGTCCTGAGAACAAGTAGTTTCCAGTTACCACTTCCAAGCTGACACCAGGAAGTACCAGCAGGGCAGATCTAAGAGCCAGTGTGAAAATACTCTTACTACTTGTGGGTCATTGACATTGCAAGGATAACATTTGAGAAAAAAATGCATGTAGCTGAAACCACTCTGAACACGTATATTCCTTTCAGGGTTTGTATTTTCCTGCTTTTCTCTCTTTTCTTTGACCAAGATGTTCCTAATGTCAACAATAACAAATTGAATAAGAACTTCAGTATCTTGCCCTCAGACTCAGTTTTTAGAAGCTACTGTCAGTACAATGTTGTTTCACAGCACCATTTTTCTGGCCAGCTATCATAAAATCTGGATAACCCCTTGCTGCAGTTCTCATGATGACACAAGCCATGTTGTTGAAACAATATGTTCTAAGATAAAACGAAGAGTACATACAAATTATACTCATGGAGAACTGGCAGCCAGCGCCACACTGCAAGGGAATAACATTCTATAAATGACCATTAGGAAGTAGAGAAAAAGGGAGAAGCTAAAGTGGCCTGTGTTTGCCCTTAATGGTAACACAGGTTCTGAGCAAATTTTTTTTCCAACAGATTAAGATTTTAATTACATCATACAATTCTAATTTTCTTCAATACAAACGATCTTAAGTGCTCTGACTCAACCAGAACTAAACTGATAAACTTAACTGTG